TGCCCCCACTGATTGAATACCTCCACCTGGCCTGACCCACCCTTGTACTTGGACTTTGTTACCTGGGACTGGTTTCCCGGACTTGCTTTTAAATAAGTTCCCCTGGGGGGGGGGGGCAAGGTCAACTTAAGCTTTCCAGCAAGATGGCAGTTCAACCGGGGTGGGGCTGGTCTGGCTGAATGGGCCTTTACAATATGGAAATGATTATACTAATCTTCAGATGAACCAAACTCAGCTGGCAAATTCTGCTGGCAAAACCAGGATGTTATTAGCATCACTAACCGGACTCTTGATGTTTAACTGTGCACTTGACTCCCAAAAAATAAAGGTTTCATTTCTCTGTCTCCTTTCAGCATATATATGGCTAAGTGACTCAATTCTGACCAGTAAGACATAAGCGAACTACCAAGTGCAACTTTCAGGAAATGCTCTTAAATGGAAAGAACAAGTCCTCCTTCAGCTCTTCTTTCAACCAATAGCTGAAGTTTGGACCCTCCTTTTTGGAGCACAAGATGGAAGACGAATGCTGAGGAGTGTGGAACATGAACACAGGATTCAACATTGGATCCAGCACTGTGGAGTACCACAAAAGCCCTGGACAGACTATACCATCTAGACTTCTTTTAGGTGAGAGAGAAATAAGCTTTTTTTCCTTAAAAAAAAAAAAATATATATATATATATTTATTTATTTATTATTATTTTTTTAAGATAGAGTCCAGGAAAGAGAGCGAGCAATGGGGAGGGGCAGAGGGCGAGGGAGAAGTAGACTCCCCACTGAGCAGGGAGCCCGAAGAGGGGCTCAATCCCAGGACCCCAGGATCATGACCTGAGCTGAAGGCAGATGCTTAACTGACTAAGCCACCAGGAGAAATAAGCTTATATCTAGTATAAGCCACTGTTATTTTGGGTTTGCTGCCACATGTGGGCAAACCAAATCCTAACTAAAACACTTATATCACATTGTAGGAAACACGTTTACATTATAGGAATTTTTAAAAATACACAAACAAAGCAAAGGAAGAAAAAAAAAAGTCATTCAGAATCTCACCATCTGGATGCAATCACTATCTAAGTCTCCTGTTTCAGTCCACAGACTTCCCCTGAGTGCGCTTCCTCACCTCACCTAAAGAGTCAAGCTGCCCAGATCTGTATCTCCCACTCCTCCTGACCTATATACCTACTGGCCTATAATCCACGTTAGACAATCGTAACATGTCCAAAACCAAATTCATCATCTCTCCTAGACTAAATCCTGCCTCCTTCCTCAATGAATGCTACCACCATTCTCCATTCTTCCTAACAGAAAGTAAAGCAGCATGTTTGACTTCTCCCTCTACTTCATCCTACGCTGAATTGTGACTGTCTCCCATATTAAAACTAAAAAAAGAAGAAGAAGAAGAAGAAGAAGAAGAAGAAGAAGAAGAGGAGGAGGAGGAGGAGGAGGAGGAGGAGGAGGAGGAGGAGGAGGAGGACGAAGAAGAAGAAGAAGAAGAAGAAGAAGAAGAAGAAGAAGAGCCTTTTCCCTGGGGCACCTGGATAACTCAGTTGGTTAAGCGTCCAACTCTTGATTTCAGCTCAGGTCATGATGGCAGGGTCATAGCCCCACGATCACATGGAGTCAGCTGAGATTCTCTGCCTCTGCCCCTCTCTCTACTCTCTCTCTCTTTCTCTCTCTCAAATAAATAAATAAATAAATAAAATCTTTAAAAAACAACAACTTTTCCCTGACGAAGAATCAGATCCTACTCACTTGTATTTCCTCAGTGCCTATTGCACTAGCAAGGTAGATACACAAATATTTGAGGGATTATTCATATCTTGTGTATTTCTTTCCAGTCCTTTTCCTTTTAGAAACAAGATAGGACTATTTTATAAAAACTATTTTAAACTCTTCACTTTGTTTCATTAAACATAGTACAGAAAATTTCCTCATGCTATTAAAAACTTTGTGCATCCTTTTTTTAAAGGTTTATTTATTTGTATATTTGTCAGAGAGAGAGAGAGAGCAAGAGCACAAGCAGGGGGAGTGGCAAGCAGAGGAAAAACTCGACCCCAAGACCCTGGGATCATGACCTGAGCAGAAGGCAGCCTCTTAACCGACCGAGCCACCCAGGTATCCCAGCAGGAAGCCCTTTTATGGCAGTATCCAGGAGCCACTGCCCTAAGCACGGCCAGTGTTAACCAGTTTAACCACACAGTTCTGTGAGGCAGGTATTTCTATTATCTCCATTTCACACAGGAGGAAATGAAGGCACAAAGAGGTCAAACAACTTGCTCAAGGTCATACAAGCAGGCTCTTCCTGCTGAACTCTGATCTGACCCACGCTAATGACCTTGCAGGTCCTGGTGCTCCTCACTAACTTACATACATACAGCCCCCAACGCCAAGACTGCTTTCTACACCTGTTTTGGTGCTGTTTGCGGAGATATCCACTGCACTGACTGAACTGCTTGTGCTTGCTTTGCTCTTACATAAAGGGCACCGAGAGCACAGAGACCAGTGGTTATGTAGCATTCACGTGAGAATCTGTACATATACACTTCTGTTCAAGTACATTTCTGTTTTGGAATGAATGCAAGGTGGGTGGGGAAGCTGATTATTTAAGAAAACGACTCACACCTTTTATGAAAGGATTGCTCTGAAGTAAGAAGTAGAAAATGTATTTTGGTATCATTCAGACCTAGGTTCAAATCCATGCTAGGTGGGATAATGCTGTCCCTCTGTTTCAGTTGGAAGGATCAAATAGGATAATGTTTGCCTCTTAAGTACAGAGAACAGACTGGTAGTTGCCAAAGAGAAGTGGGGGGGGGGGTGAAATGAAGATGAAGGGGATTAAAACTGTACTGAGTAATGTACAGAATTGTTGAATAATCATATCATACACTTGACACTAATATAACACTGTATGTTAATTAGACTTCAATAAAAATAAATTTAGAAAAATAAAAAATAAACAGGATAATGTATATAACACATCTAACATAGTGTTTAATTAATGTCTTCTTCCCAACGTACTTGCATATGAAAAAGCTAGATTTATTATTTTTTTAAAGATTTTATTTATTCATTTGTCCGAGAGAGAAAGAGAGTACAAGCGAGGGAGAGGCAGGCAGAGGGAGAAGCAGGGTCCCTGCTCAGCAGGGATCCCAACACAGGACTCGATTCCACGACCCTGGAATCATGACCTGAGCTGAAGGCAGATTAACCGACTGAGCCACCCAGGTGTTCCGAAAAAGCCAGATTAGATTAAACTTTTTATGAAGCAAGATAAAGCTCTCTTTAATCGCCAGATATACATTCTAGTAAACTGTTGATTCTTTTTGTTCTTGGAACAAATTTTGGAGGGCCTCCTCTTACACATAAATGATAAGAGTCCACCTTTCATGGGCTCATTATCCATTGTAGGTCGCTAGTTATAGGCACCACAGGTGGAGGGCTCTTTGCCTCTCTGAGCCTTTGTTTCCTCACCTGTAAAGTGGGGAATCTAATGAGGATATATGTAAAATGCCTAGCACTGTTCTTGGCACGCAGTCACTGCTTAGTAGTAGTTGCTAACTCATGTAATATATATTTTTTAAGATTTTATTTATTTATTTGACAGAGAGAGCACAAGTAGGCAGAGCATCAGGCAGAGGGAAAGGGAGAAGTAGGCCCCCTGCCAAGAAGGGAGCCTGACACGGGGCTCGATCCCAGGACCCTGGGATCATGACCCCAGCAGAAGGCAGACGCTCAACCGACTGAGGCACCCAGGTGCCCCTAACTAGTGTAATATTATGTATCCATTAAAAAAGATTCACAGAGGGGCACCTGGGTGGCTCAGTGGGTTAAATAAAGCCTCTGCCTTCAGCTCAGGTCATGATCCCAGGGTCTCTGCTCAGCAGGGAGCCTGCTTCCTTCTCTCTCTTTCTGCCTGCCTCTCTGCCTGCTTGTGATCTCTCTCTGTCAAATAAATAAATAAAAAAAATCTTAAAAAAAAAAAAAAAAGAGATTCGCAGAGGGACGCCTGGGTGGCTCAGTTGGTTAAGTGTCTGCCTTCAGCTCAGGTCATGATCCCAGGGTCCTGGGCCTGCATCAGGTTCTTTGCTTGGTGAGGAGCCTGCTTGTCCCTCTGCCTGCCACTCCCCTGCTTGTGCGTGTGCTCTCTCTAATAAATAAATAAAGGAATCTTTTAAAAAAGGGGGGTTCCTGTTACTATTATTATTCCATAATGAACATGAATACACAATTCAGATAATGAAATAAAACTCAGATAATGTGCTACAACATATAGAAAAAACTGCCTCATTAATAATCAAAGAAATACAAATTAAAGACTTTTTTTTAACCTCTCAGATTGACAATAATTTTTTTAAAAACCTCTTATTTCTTAATACTCAGTAAGTATGGGAAAACTCATTGTGAAAGGACCTAGAAATTTAGAAATGTTAATACTCTGACCCAGGTATTGATTCTAGTAATCTATCCTACGAAAAGAATTTTAAATACAACAAAAAATTTAGGTACAAAGAAAAATATTTCTAACCTATTATTCCATAATAGCAAAACACTGGCAAAGACTTTGTCCACCAAAGAGGAATAGCTAAATAAAAATATTATATGGAATATTTTACAGCAACTGAGAAAAATATTAAGAATGTCTAATAACATGCAAAATATCTTATAGTAACAAAACAGAACACAGGCTACATAAAAGGCATACAAAAATATTAATAGTGGTTCTTTTCTGGATGTAACTATATGTGGTTTTTGTGTTTCATTTTCTTGCATTCTACATAATCTCTAAAATGAACATTTTTACGGGCAAAATCGAAGTGTTTAAAGAACATTTTGAGCCTCATTCATTGAAATAAACAGAACCACCTCCCACAGACCCCCACTTCTATAGCATAAAGCCTCTTTACTTTTCCACTTTTATCTCTCATCATTCTCCCTGCCAGGCACCGCTCACTAGAGTCACTTTAAATGAACAAGCCGGGACGTTCTTGGATTTGTTTTGTTTACAGCTGTGAATTCCTTACTCACCACTTTGTTCTATCAGGAAAACACCTTTGCAACATGCGATCACAAGTACTCTGTGATCCTGCAGCCTCTCCGGGTACCAGATCACACTGAAATTAGAAGGAAGGCAGATGCAAACAGACAGAATGACCTTATAGAACGAGGCTGTGCCTTCTTCATCTTTTTGCTTCTGCCAGTGCTTAGCACGTTAATAGGTGACCCAGACACACCTGCCAAATGAATATGCATCGATACCCATGTGATGATGCCTGAGCTGGCCTAGGGTACCTCAGAATGTGAGGGGGTCTGTTTGTTTAAAGAAAGCAGTCCCTGAAGAGGCGGCTAGGGAACCAGACAGACCTGGGCTTGGCACAGCAACACCGAGCAAGTTACTAAAATGCTGAGTACCTGCTTCCTTGCTTAAAAAGCAGAATTTGCATTTGGCAAGCTCACAAGGTCATTGTGAGGATTAAGTCAGAGAGATGTGAAACATAGGTATTAAAAAAAAAAAATGCTCATCACTATAACTTAAATGTGAGTAAGTCAAGGCCGGTTCCTGTCCCTCTTGCTGAAGACATTAAAGCCGTGCCCTCTGTAAGCAAGCTGGGGACAAGGCTGACGCCCATCAGCACCCCCAAGCCAGTGAGTGACGTATGGCATCCAGATACACTTCGAGCAATGGTCACACGAGTCCTCTCAAACCTCGTATCTGTTTTCTACATGGACAGCTGAAGAGCGGCAAGCAGCTACCCGACCAAATGAAGATGACTACACTGCTGTTGTCCGTTTCTCAGATCAAAGCCAAGAGCGAGGCTTCCTAGACCAACGAGCCCTGTGAGTGACGGCCCTTCCACAGGGCTACCTGAGGTGCAGCTAGCACGGTGGTAGGCTGCATCACCTCCAGGCACAAGAAGCCACTGGCCCATCCAGGAACACCCATCATAGTATCAATACCACGAACATCACACATGAGGCAGATCGGGTGAGTCATGAAAGCCTCTGAGGAGGTAATCAGAGGACACCGAGGGGAGGTATCAGGAATTACCCGTGGGTTCACTAGCAAGCCAACCACCCTCTGTATGAATACTTTTCCACATTTTGTTTCCTCATCATAAGAAGGTGACATCACTATCTACCTCACTGATGGTATTCTGAAGATTAAGTACGAGGACACGCATAAGCCTCTGGCCCAGGGAGGATAGCATTCGTGCCCATTACCACTGCCCACACACAGATACTAATGCCATGCCTTCTGGGTGCAGCGCTCTTCTCTCCAATACCAATCCTGGTTGATCTGAGTTGATCTTGATGGTTGTTCTCAAATAATAACCTTAATGTACAGAAACTGGTTCAAGTACAGCCCAAAATAAGGAAGAAGAAACTGTCAGGGTGGGAGGGGAGGTTCCTGGCAGCACAGCTTCCCTCCTTGATTTTCCTGAAGAGATGATACTATTGCCACCAGGAACTCCGTGTGCAGCCGCTCCCTTACCAGTGCAGTCAGGTGGCCCGCTGCACTGGCCGTCACAGAAGCTCAGCTCTAGAAGAAGAGGATGGGGATTTTCTGGGGGGGCAGGGGATGGCAAGTCTCACTTCACAAGAGCACAGTTCCCTACTCTCTTTCCCGTGCTTCATACTGAGCCTAGCACTCAGCAAGTACTCAATAAACACGCTGGACGAAAAAATGCACCCACTTGACTCTATCCCGAACACCCCCACCTACCAAATGACCCTCTGGCTCCATGAGAACCTACCAAGATCCAAGCACTGGGGAGACTAGGTAGCCAAGACTGGTGACAAAGTAATGCCTGTGGAGCATTCTCCGTGGAGCCAGGCCAAAACAGTAAGGGGCTGTTCATGGACAAAACCAGCAGATAGAGACCACAGCAGCAATTCCAGCTCTGTAATGACGAGCTGCCTACCCACATTACTACCTACCTCATCCCTGATCCTTTATCTCTCCTGCGCGACTGGCTGAGGCCCAGCACATATTGTACAGTAAGCCTCCGGTGCTGGAGACCGGTAAATCACACAGAATCCAAATTTCTCAGATTTTTAAAAAGTTTTTTGTTTTTTTTTTTTAAGCACTCTCTACACCCAGCATTGGGCTTGAACTCACAACCTGAGATACAGAGTTGCACACTCTTCCCACTGAGCCAGCCAGTTGCCCCCAAAGTACTTAGAGTAACACTCATACTTCCTACTTGCCTTGGAATTCAAGATGTCAAACTTCTGGTGTCGGTACCCCTTTACATTCTTAAATAATTATTGAGGACCCCAAAGAACTTTTTTATATGGGTTATAGCTATTAATATTAATACACATTAAAAATTAAAACTGAGGGACGCCTGGGTGGCTCAGTTGGTTAAGCAGCTGCCTTCGGCTCAGGTCATGATCCCAGCGTCCTGGGATCGAGTCCCACATCGGGCTCCTTGCTCGGCGGGGAGCCTGCTTCTCCCTCTGCCTCTGCCTCTGCCTGCCATTCTGTCTGCCTGTGCTCGTTCTCTCTCCCTCTCTCTCTCTGACAAATAAATAAAATCTTTAAAAAAAAAAAATTAAAACTGAGGGGCGCCTGGGTGGTTCAGGGGGTTAAATTCTCTGCCTTTAGCTCAGGTCATGATTCCAGGGTCCTGGGATCAAACCCCCACATCGCTTCAGGCTCTCTGCTCAGCAGGGAGCCTACTTCCTTCCTCTCTCTACCTGCCTCTCTGTCTACTTGTAATCTCTGTCTGTCAAATAAATAAATAAAATCTTTAAAAAAAATAGTTTATCAGTACTAAAGATGATACAATATTAAAAAAACCTAAAAATTAAAACTGAGACATCTTAGAAATATTTTTATCCTCTTAAAATTAATAATAGTAAACCCATTATGTGTTAACATAAATAACATGCTTTAATTAAAAATAACTATATTTTCTAAGACAAAAAAATGTAATTAGAAAGTTAGCACTATTTTACATTTTTGCAATTCTTTGTTTGTTTTGTTTGTTTTTATTTTTTTTAGATTTATTTGTTTATTTATTTGACAGACAGAGATCCCAAGTAGGCAGAGAGGCAGGCAGAGAGAGAGGAAGGGAAGCAGGCTCCCCGCCGAGCAGAAAGCCCAGTGCAGGGCTCGATCCCAGGACCCCGGGATCATGACCCGAGCTGAAGGCAGAGGCTTTAACCCACGGAGCCACCCAGGTGCCCCAGTAAAAGACAGATTCCCATATCTGCTTGTGCATTCAATATATTGCGATATATGTTGTTTTAGTAGAAGTATATGAAAAAAACCCATTCTCACAAACACAAGTAGTTGGAAAAAGGAGAAATATTTAGTAGTATATTTTCAGATAACTGCAGATATTCCTTGATACTACACCAAAACTCCACAAGTAATAGCTGATTAAGGTAAGCTGCAATGTCGAATCTGAAACCACATCAATGAGCTTTTCATACTCTGTCCCATGTGGTCTGTCTTCTACTTTGAATGGCTCTTTTACCCATGAACGACTTTGTAAGATCACACATTAATCATTCAGAAAATATTCATTTACTGAGTTATACAGATCTTTCAAACATTGACATATTTTAATCCACAACATCAAAAAACTACATTCATAAATACTACATCCAGCCTCATCAGAAAAATCTTTAAGTACTGAAAAACTATTGAACTCACATGCCAGGTACAACTTCCAAAATTCTTATTTTCACCTGAAAGCTCAAATTTTATCATGGGCAACGAACACTGTCAGTAGTCTTCCTTGAAGTGACAGACATGCTTTGTTCATTTGAGGGGAAATGTCTGCCAGATACCCAAGTCTGAATAATCCAAATCATTTGAATAATCTGACTGTCACTCATTCTTCCAAGTATATATGGTGTCCATGAGAAAAGTAGCTAGTTCAGTTTGCAACGCAAACTATTAACTGTACAAGTGCTTTTCCTTGAGAGAACCATCGTGCTTCATGCAACAAAAATACTTTATGTACACTTTCCTCATCACACAGAATATGAAAAGATGTACACGCAAAGGGTCGAGACTTAATAAAGGTAATGATTTTTACTTCTTTCTCCAGAATAATCTTAGGTAAAATCGCCATTTTCTTTTCTTTATCAGCTTGGTGGTGAAGACTGTAATATAACCTAGCACCATCTGGCGCCCCTAGTTTGGTTCACACTAAGCCTCGGGAGTTTTACCCACAACTGCTTTCACACCATCAGTAGAAATGTCAAAACAGTAAATAACCTCTTAAACATTATCAGATAACAGTTTTGAGTTTGAGGACCCCCCAAAAGTCGCAGGCCCCCCCCAGGGGTGTGCGGACGTTTTGAGAACCACTACCTTCCTCTATAAATCCTCATCTGTTCCAACAAGCTGCCCAGCCTCTAAGTAAGCATGAGACGGAAGACAGCTTTTTCGGGGGGTAGAAGCAGCAAGTGAGGACAAAGAGGACGCCAGTTCCCTCACCCAGCAAGAGGCTCCCTGCTTTCAGCTACAGAAGCTGGTTCAGGGTCAAACCTATCCCAGCTCACATACTTCAGGTTTCTTAGGTAGGACTTCACCAAGGGGTGAGTGGGAGCTCCCAGCTGCGATCTGCAGATCCACAGCCACTTCCACAGTAAAGGGAAAGAGCTTCCCGTCTGGTTAGTGCTGCCAGAGTTAAAATGTCAGAGTAGCTGACACTCGCCTTTACTGGTCTCCCATCCACCTTTGGCACTTTGGTCATAGTCTTTGCCTTCTTACTCATGCCCCCAAAGCACCTGGTACCTCTGTAGTGCCCAAACTCTTCCATTATTACGTCCTGTCATTTTCCCATCCTTAACAGATACGTTCATTTGCTTTATCTTGTTAGTTTAATTAGCTTGTTGCGAGTTTTCTGATTCACACCAAGCTGCAAGTTGACTTAACTCTCCCAGGAAAACATACATTTTTAAAAGTCTACTTTTGGGCCCAGGCGAAATTTTAGTTATTGGGCTTTCCTTCCATATACTATGGAGTGTTGGGGGCAAGAACATTCCTTGACGGAGAAACAGGAAGGTCATGCTGTCCTGCTAGGGGAGATAGCACGGTATTATAGGAAAAACACAGACTTTGGAATTAAATAAGCCCGGGTCCAAACTACAGAACCACTACTTACATGACTTTAGGAAATTTGATTTTCCTGGAACTCAATTTCCTCATCTGTAAAATGGGGATAAGTTCCTTGCAGAGTTCTGGTGAGGATTAAGGGCTTTGCATACAAGCCCAGGAACCACCGGCCCTCGATAGGTGGTAGCTATTACCTGACTCTCTGTGTTCAGGAACCTGTCTTTAGAAGCATCAAATAAGAGTTTCCTGCCCCACAACTACCTCCTTCTTCCTGACCCTAGAAATGAACTTTCTATCCCAATTACCATATCTTTCTAGCCAAGTCTCTTCTCTTTTACTTTCAAATACTATTTGGTATGACTTACCAGAAAGGTGGCAAATTTACAAAAATAATAAAGTTATTATGAAACCAGCAAATACTGTAACTAGACTCAAGGCTAATAGGAAGAATAATTTCAACAACAGGAAGCTCCGAACAAGGCTATAAACGAGGTAGACTAAAGCCATATATGATCATTAGTCCCAGGGAATGGCCCAGCTGAAGGGTCAAAAAGAGGAAAGAGCTCACTAAACAATAAAAACCTCACAAAAACAAAACAAACAAACAAACAAACACACACACACACACACACACACACACACACACAAAAACAAAGATTAAATAAAATGTACAGTCAGCAGATATAATTCACATATTAAGCAGAATCTTACCTGTTTGATCAAGTTCGAGCAAAAAATAAGGAACACACATCGACTTAAATAACTTCTTCACCTGGAAAAACAAGGGGGAGAATTTTTTTTAAGCCTTCTCTCCAGCTTTTTACTTTCCACTTTAATCAGCTTCTCCTTTGCAAACTTACCAGCCCATTTTTAAACAACCCACAAGACTCTCCCTGTCGACGGTAATGATAATTAATGGGTATCTGAAGTCTGTTGGTTCTATCTATGTTCAATGATTCACCTATATAGCTTCATAAAATACATTTTGAATGTTCAGTGACTCCGTCTACCCCACTATAAATGGGCTTAATACTAATCATGTTTTAAAAGGCACTGGAATATGTAATATTTCCAAAACATATATGGAAACTCTAAGAAAAAAACTATATTCTACAGTAGTATTATTTATTTTTTAGCTGAGTAAAAAACCTCAACCAACAAATCAATTACAAAAGTCATACATTCAAGATCACACAACTTATTTTTTTAAAGATTTTATTTATGTGTTAGAGAGAGCATAAGCAGGGGGAGTGGCAGGCAGCGGGGAGAAGCAGGCACCTCCCCTAGGCAAGAAGTCCAATGTGAGACTCAATCCCAGGACGCTGGGGTCATGACCTGAGCCGAAAGCAGATGCTTAACCAAGTGAGCCACCCAGGCATCCCAAGATTCCACAAAAATTGTAAAAAAAATTTTACTGGAAGGATAAGTTACTTTTGCCAAATTTGCACCACTAAATAACATATAAATTACTGATTAAAAAAAAAACTTTAAAATGACATTTATATATAAGACACAATAGCCTGTCATTAATGCCTTAGGACAGCTAAGACCCAAATTTCCTCCAGCTTCTACAATAAAAGGAAAAAGTTCAGAACTATGGCCTGGAGTTCACAAAAATTAACAATCAGAGAATGTTCTTTTCCCATTCTAATTTAACTATTAAAACAGTAGATTAAAAGATTTCTATCAATTGTATAGGGCCAAAGACAAGATTTTGATAAAAATGGGAAAATAGATTCATTCACACAGCTCTGGTGGCCCTCCTCTTATATTCACAGAGCAGTATCTGTGCCCTGGTCGGAATTTAGCTCCCTGGCAACATATAGTTAAAAAGATAAGAATCCTTTTGAAGAGTGATGGAGTGAATAAAGAAGGACTTTAAGGAAAGGGCAGGGAAAGCTACAGCTGGGAGACCATCTGGACAAAAGTCAATTCATCTTCCATGCTCATTTCCTAAGACTAAAAATAAAAAAAGTTCAAACACATATAAAATCATGGAGTCTTAAGGCTTCCTCAGCCACTTAATTTTAGAAATGAACCATTTGCAGTTTGTTACAAAAAACAAGTTTTCCAGATTTAGAGAATAATCCTAAAAACAGCTCCTAAAAGTATCAAAATTTGACAATATGTGAAATGTAGAAAATATCAGCTCTAGATTCCAGAATACACATGACCCCATTTCAAGAAACTCTTTGGTAGGTAATTTTAGCTCTGATGAAACTTTCATACTGCTCCACAGTACAAGATTAAAGATCTGTATTGAATTTCATTAGCACCAGTTTCCAGAATATTCTAATTGATAAAAGCAGAGGATGGTCAACGTTGCCTGTAACATACACACGCTATGGGGAAATGGCAGTGGATCTGGGTGTCAGGCAACCCATAAACTATATGAGACGTCATTTGCTAATTCCAACATCATACTTCTAACTTCTCATTCAAATACCCGTAAGAAACAAATAATCGCATTTTCTGAAAAGGTAGGAAGTTGTCTTTGCATTTTAAAATCCAGTCTTCACAGCATGATGTAGCAAATCACACACAGTAACGTGTTATGCAACAAACAGGAAACTAACTTACGTAGAAGCTCATTTCTTTGTGGGCATTTCCCAGCTTGAATCAATGCAAATTATATTACTCATCCCAGAGAGAAATATAAATTCATCAGGCCAAGTACAGATATAAAAATGAAGTTTCTCCATCCTGATTTACTCACATCACAACTGTTAAAAGATAAGATCAAAACTGAAGGAAGTATCCTGGGGAAATGCTACTTCAAGGCAATTTTTAAAAATAATAAAATTAAAAATTAAAATTAAAAAAAAAAAAAAACACGAACAGTCAAGTCTATAAGTTGTACCCTCACAGAAGAAAATCACTATTTTTACCAGAAGAGACACTTCACCATCCTTCACAGCCAAAGACATTGAAAGTTAATTTCCATATTAATTGGCACAAATCTGAAAACAGCTTATATATTACATATTCAGAAAAGCTTAAGAACTGGTATTTGTCAAGGTAAAACCAGGGGATATTTGTCCAAAAGACCTGGCATACCCAGGAATTACTCAGATAATGACATTAAATAAAGTTTCCAGAATTACTATACATTTTAATACAACAGATATGCAAATACCTACCACAAATTTTACAAGAAATGTTCATCATTCCTAGAGTATACTTAATTGAGGAAAAAAAAACACTTTGCCTTTTTAGAGTCAGGGAGGAGAATCAGGAAATGAAGAAGTTAGTTGAATTCAGGGAGAAGATAGTAGAAATAAGAGCAACTACAAGTCAAAGAAATGGGAGACTGCAGGGAGCAAGCAATGAAACTGCCTATCACCACTAGCAATCTTTTTTTTTTTTTTTAAAGATTTTATACATTTATTTGACAGAGAGAGAGAGATCACAAGTAGGCAGAGAGGCAGGCAGAGAGAGGAGGAAGCAGGCTCCCCACTGAGCAGAGAGCCCTATGTGGAGCTCGATCCCAGGACCCTGAGATCATGACCTGAGCTGAAGGCAGAGGCTTAACCCACTGAGCCACCCAGGCACCCCACCACTAGCAATCTTGACCATGTTGGCCCTGTCCTTCACTGCAGGCCTACAGCAGAGTCAAAACTGCAGTTTTCCAACTCTTTAGCAATGTTGGAGCACCTGGGTAGATCAGCTGGTTAAGAGTCCTATTCTTGATTTCAGCTCTGGTCATGATCTCAGGGTCATGAGATGGAGCCCCGTGTCAGGCTCTATTCTCAGCTCAGAGTCTGCTTAAGAGTCTCTTTTTCCCGCTCCTGCTGCCTCTCCCCGCCCCCCCCGCCCAACACACACACACACACATACACACACACACACACACACACACACACACACGCATGCAATCTCCCTCTCTCTCTCAAATAAGTAAATATTTTTTTAAAAATGAGGAGAGTGACCAAACACCGCCTGGCACATAGTAGGCTCTCAATAGTGGCTCCTAACACAAGCCTATACTGGAGGCTTCCACGTGCTTTCACAGAGACTTGAAATTCTTTGGTCCTCAAGCTGTGTATTACCAAGTATAGCAGATAAGGCGGCACTGTCAACCTTATTGTTGAGGAAACTGATTTTCAACTGCAAATGTTCCTTCCATTACACCACCATGTGCACAGAGTTTCAAAGGGAGAGGTCAGTTTAGGGAAAAAAAAAAAAAAGAAAGAAAAAAAATACAGCCACTTTTTAATAGGAGTAACTATACTGGGACTAGTGAGATATTTGTTGATTTCCACTTGACTGAGGCTCAATACTGATGAAGGAAGATCGCCATCCAAGGTGTGAAGTCCTGATAGGGAAAGAGGAAGGGCAGGTAGTTCTTTCATTTAAAAAAACATTAGGGAGCATTTACTATGTGCCAGGCATGTTCTGTGGCTTCTATAAATATTAGCTAATGTGATCCTCATGACAAACTTACGAGATAGGTGTATTATTACCCACATTTTACAGATGAGAAAACTGAGACACAACAGGTAAAAAACTTAACCAAGTTCACATGACAAGGTCAAAACTCTGACTTCAGAGTTCAGGCTCCTCGCCATTATTTGGAAACAGAAATGACTAGACAACTCCATGATTTCAGAACTAAAAGGAATCTCAATGGCCAACTAGTCCAAGCCCTTCATTTTACAGATTACACAAACGAGGGAGAAGAGCCTTAAAAGACCACTAGGGCTATATAATGAAGCTCCCAGAGGCCAGGAATTATATAGCGGATTTCTTTTTCTTTTTCTTTTTTCTTTTTTTTTCTTTTTTTTTAAAGATTGATTGATTGATTTGACAGAGAGAGAGCAAGAGAGAGAAAGCACAAGCAGGGGGAGCAGCAGGCAGAAGAAGAAGCAGACTCCCTGCTGAGCAGGGAGCCTGATGTGGGGCTTGATCCCAGGACCCTGGGATCATAACATGAGCGAAAGGCAGACATTTAACGACTGAGCCACCCAGGCGCCCCTGCAGTGGATTTCTAATACCCAACCCTCTTCCAAATTCTCTAATGTTTACTGCCGATGCTAATTACTTAGAATTTAGCATGGGTTACCTTAGGCCATTTTTCTTTTTTAAAAAAAGATTTGATTTATTTATGTGAGAGAGACAGAACACAGGCAGGGAGTGGGGCAGAGGGAGAGGGAGAAACAGACTCCCCACTGAGGGCAGAACCCAACTTGGGGCTCTATCCCAGGACCCAGAGATCATGACGTGAACCATGAACTGACTGGGCCACCCAGGTGCTCCTGATCATTTTTCTTTTCAAGCCAAAGGTCTGCCTTCTCAGTTTGACTAAATCCCCTGGGGATGGGACTTGTGTCTCCTACCTCTTAGCAACCCTGTTCCCAACATAATGTCCTGAACAAAAGGCACCATGATGATGAAGCAGACTATGTTGGGTGAGAAACAAAGATGAAAATTTCTGCCTACTTTCAGTGTTTCCACTGCTTGCCCACCTTCCCATTTTCCTTATTTAGAACAAGGGAGGGGCGCCTGGGTGGCTCAGAGCGTTGAGCATCTGCCTTCTGCTCGGGTCGTGGTCTCGAGGTCCCAGGATGGAGCCCCACATCAAGGTCCATGTCGGGCTGTCTGCTCAGTGGGGACCCTGCTTCCCCCTATCTCTCTGCCAGCCTCTCTGCCTACTTGTGATCTCTCTCTGTCAAATAAAAACATTTTTTAAAAAATCTTAAAAAGAACAAGGGAACATACACACACACACACATATGCATGCACACAGAGTCTAAGAATCATGTTTCTGTGTAACCCTTCCAGAATAAAAGTCTTCTGAGGTCAATCTCTCTGAGAGCTGGAAAATCAGCCAAGAAACTGAGAGAAAATTGAACTTAATAAATTACCCTACATAGGTGAACCCTGACAGAAGGCCACTTATGTTGACTTTAGAATCCACATGTCTAGTCCTAGAGCTACCCTGAGAAAAATTTAAAGCTAAGCTTCAGTGGCATTCAAATATCCTCAACCTTCCCATAAAGCACCCCAATAGGTCTGTCTTTCAATTCTCCACATCATTCTGTGGTGAAATCAGGTAGACTAAACCAACCCTCCCCATGGCTGTGATCACTGACCTTTCCTCTCAGAAAATCTAAGACTAAGAACCAAGTGGAAAGCACAGTTTTTTCTTTGGGAAGTCATTTTTCCCATAATGAGCATGAAGAGGTACTTATCAAAATTTAGGAGTACCTTAAGTAACAGCTGCTCAGAAAATACTCTCTATAGAAGTGCCTAAAAGAGCAGCCAATCAACTGCTTTGGGAGCTTGCCCACCCCTAATCTGTCTGAACTTGAGAAACCATCTAGGGTTTTACAAAAGCTCAGGAGAAGATTACTCAAGCAACATTTTGTTCTCAAAGCCTTACTCTCTAAAGACTCTGAAGCAATTTACACCCACACAAACCCCTTCCTCAGGTGAAATCCAACTGCTTATAGCAGAGCTCAGAAGTCTTGATTATCTGGAAGGCAGTAACGTGTCCCCGCTCCTGGAGGCTGAAGTCTTACCTCAGCACAGCGCTTGCACGTGGACTTGCTGAAGATGACTACAGGGTAGCTGTCTATATAGGCCCTAAGCCGGGCTCTGGGGTCCGAGACGCCTGGGCCGCTGGACCCTGAGGGGCCACTCACACCAGTGGCTGGGTTTTCTGGCAAGGGTTGACTAGGGAGATGATCCTTAGCTAGAAGTAATGGAAGCAAAGACGGTAATTATCAGAAAGGAAAACATGATGATGCATTCCCTAATATTAGATTCACTCGGCGAGCCTTACAATTTTAGCCCCAACCACCAAAATAAGGAGTCTGAGGAAGGACTCGAAAATGGATTACACATGAAGTTCTGTCATCTGACTGCAGACTCCCGGCAACGCACTGGGTATCTCCAATTTGTTTTTGCTTCGTTCAAGGTCAGTTCTCAGGGGCCCTGACAAACGACAGCAGGAGCCTGAACCTTCCTGAGGTAAGAGACTAAGTCACAGGTTCTGCCACTAAGGGCCACACATTCCCTCTGCCCCACCCTACCCATGGTTTAAATGCAGAGGGGCCAGAGGTCAGAGACTGCCCCCCCTTCTCACACAACCCTGCCCAGAGATACAGGATTGGGCAACTCAAGCCAAGGCTTACTCCTTTTTCTCTAGTTAACTTCTGGACAAGCAAACACAGGCTCTTCGGGCAACAGGCACAGCAAGATTTTAAAAAACAACTTTCTTCAGATTCTCTGTTTTCCTCTCCAGGATTTTTCTGCAGCTGAATCTGGCAGCATAACAAACATGACCCAGCTCAGTGGTATGTTACCCCACATGACACCACTATTGTCCTGGGTATCATCACCAGCCAAAACCACAGAGATTGCTACCTCCGGCTTGTAAATATTTTAAACTAGCTATCTTCTCCAGGGCCACAAACAAAGCCAGCTCAATCCTACCCTTATTACCTACTCCACAAGTTATTTCCTCTTATTTCTGCGTGTCTAAGACCTACCCATTCTTCCTCAATCTCCTCATCATCTTCATAGTTGATATTAGTGTTTACTCAGAACTAGATGGGAGTTAATATTTGTATGCATCATCTCATTTAATCTTTACAAGGATATCATTATACAAACACTGCTAACCATCATCCCTATTTTGCAAATAAGGAAACAGAGAGGTTAAGCAACTTCTCCAAGGTTGCACAGCTTACAGTAAGTGATGGAACTGGGTTCAAATGTACATTCGAATTCTCTAGAACCCATATATATTTTTTAAAAATAGCTTTACTGACTTATAATTCATATGCCATAAAATTCACCAGTGGAGGGGCACCAAGGTGGCTCAGTCGGTTAAGAATCTATCTGCCTTTGGTTCAGGTCATGACCCCAGGGCCCTGGGATCGAGCCCTGTGTCAGACTCCCTGCTCTATGGGGAGTCTGCTTCTCTCATGCCCCCGCCACTCCCCCCTGCTTGTGCTCTCTCTCTCAAAGAAATAAATAAATAAAATCTTTTCCTTTTTAAAATGGAAATGGAAAGTACACAATTCAATGGTTTTTAGTCAGAGTTGTGCAACCATCACCACTATCAAATTTACAGCATTTTCATCACCCCAAAAAGAAGCCTGTAGCCATTAGAAGTTGCCCCCCATTATCTCCCAGCCAGCTCTTCCCGCTTCCCTACATCTAGGCAACCACTCCCCTTATTTATGGAGTCATACAATATGCAGTCTTCTGTAACTGAGTTCTTTCACTTTTTTTAAGGTTCATCTATGCTATAGCATGTATCAGTGCTTCATTTCTTTTTTATTGCCAGATAATATTCCATTGTATGAATATACCACATTTTTAAATCTGTTCATCAGTTGATGGACATTTGGGCTGTTTCCACTTTTTGGCTGTTGTGAAGAGAGCTGCTAGGAACATTTGTGCACAGGTTTGTGTTTTAAATACCTGTTTTTAATGCTTTTGAGTGAATACCTAGGAGTAGAATTGGAAAATGCTAAATCTTCTGAGGAACAACCGAACTGTTTTCCAAAGCATCAACACCATTCTACATTCCTACCAGCAGTGTATGAGGGCCCCCATTTCTCCACATCCTTGCCAACACTTATGATCTGCTTTTTGATTCTAGCCACCCTAGTGGATGTGAAGTGGTGTCTCACTGTAGTTTGATGCGTGTTCCTCTAATGGCCAATAATGCTGAGCAACTTCCCGTATGCTTATTGATTATTTGTATATATATCTTCTTTGGAGAAATGTCTGTTCAGATCCTCTTCCCATTTTTAATTGGCTATTGTCTTTTTATTGCTAAATTGTAAGAGTTATTTTTTTTAATTAATTTTTTGAATTTATTTTGACGCAGGAAGAATGGGAGCACAAGCAGGGGGAGCAGCAGGCAGAGAGGGAGGGAGAATCAGGCTCCTTGCTGGGCAGGGAGCCTGATGGGGGGCTCATCCCAGAACCCTGGGATCATGACCTGAGCTGAAAGCAGTCGCTTAACCAACTGAGCCACCCAGGTGGCCCTATAGAAAGTATTTTTAAGTTAGTTAATTATAAATTTTTTAAAACTAACCCCTACTATACATGGTCAAGACAGGGTCAAAAAGTAAGTGACTATTTTTTCATATGCTAAACATTCAAATATTACTAATACCTGAAATATAGGTAAAGTAAAAAGGGATATAGAAATGCCCATATCTAATATGAAGAATGGGTACATCTTAAAGAAAAACTAAAATCTATGCCAATTAATTATAGGACCCAAAAGAGCAATGGGGGTTGGTATTTGCTGCATAATGTTCCAGACCATACCAGACCTTTCATATCAGCTATCCAAAAGCTTCACCAATACTCTCCAGCCTCACCAATGACACTTTGAAGTTTTAAAATTAAACTCTGGTTTTCATATTCTCTTTTCCATGCTGCTTATTTTAGAAGACAACATGGAAATGAGGATTCTTAGTGGTAACAGTGCATGGAAAGAGAATCACAGAATTTCAGCGAGGGAAAGAAACTGGGGGTCAGTAGGCCAACATATTCACTCAACTAATGAGGAAACTGAGCTCCAGACAGGTAATTAATTGGTGTCAGAGTCAGGGCTGCCACACAAGCCTCTTGATTCCATTATGTCTTACTGACTCCTTTGACTTCATGGGATGACTGATTCTAAAGGAAGGTGACAATTCCTTACATAACATCTCTGCTAAGGTCATCACCCACCTATTAAGCTCAGATAGCTGCCAGTACCCGGAACACAGAAATCAAGGCCATTACAGGGAAAGGGGTATCCTCTGTTATCAAAAAGAGCAGCAGTATTACTGGGGAGAGACTGTTCACCCAAAACAAATGAAAAATAAACAAATGAATAGATATATAAAAGATTGCCCCACTAATCAAAATCATTAGAACTTCTCCTTAAACTCTGCCTCTAACAAAATGGCAAATTTTATTTTTAAATGTTTCCCTTCATTTTGAAATAAAATTTGAATCAGCATCCAAAGAAATATATTAAGTAAATGTGGCAAGAACAGCACATAACCATGTGGTCAGAAAAACTCAGATAAAGTTCTAATTATGAATTTCTTTATTTTGCCCCAACTCTTATGCCTAAGATCAGTTCCTAATGTTTGGATCAATGTAATACCTACTGTCCCCTTGTAAAAACTCAGACCAAAATTTAATAATAAAAGTGCTCCATACTTAACACTCATAAAAATTATGTAGGTCGATGAAAGATACTGGAGAGCCCCAAAATAGACAAATATAAAAGAATTTACGATAAAAAGACATTACACAAAGCAATAAAGAAAAAGAAAACATATTTTTAAAAATAGTATGGTAACGGATCATCTGGGTAGCTCAGTTGATTAAGCATCCTACTCTTGATTTATGCTCAGGTCATGATCTCAGGGTCATGAAATTGAGCCCTGTGTCAGGCTCTGCACTGGACATGAAGCCTACATGGGATTCTCTCTCTTCCTCTCCCTCTGTCCCACCCCCCACCAAAAAAAATTAAAGTAGCATAGTAATGATGGCTTGATAATTTGGAAAAAAAATTTTTCACTTATCTCTTACTATATAATAAAGCATGTGAAATGGACTTGTTACCAGATCTCTAATGAGGTGATAACTTCCTAAACTTAGAAACAAATACAAAGGAAAAGAGCAACAAATTATATTGCAAAATAATAGTAGTAATAATAATAATTTTTTTAAGGCAAAAGAACAGCCTAAAGAAAATACCTACATATGGGGTGCCTGGGTGGCTCAGTTGTTACGCATCTGCCTTCGGCTCAGGTCATGATTCCAGGGTCCTGGGATGGAGCCCCACATCAGTCTCCCTGCTCAGTGGGAAGCCTGCTTCTCCCTCTCCCACTTCCCCTGCTTGTGTTCCCTCTTTCACTGTGTCTCTATCAAATAAATAAACAAAATCTTTAAGAAAAAATACCTACATTAAAAAAAGAACTAAAGAACAAAAAGAACTCAAGACAATTGGTAAAGAAACAGCAGGACACAGATGATAAAGTGAATAAAGAACAGGAACAACCAATTCATTAGAAAGAAAAGAGCAAAACTAGAATAAAATGTCTATTTTACTTTTCTTTCAAAATCAGAAATTAAAGCAATGATGTATCATTTCTGTTAAAATAAAAATGGAAACTCCCAGTGCTGGTAAATGGACACTGAAGCCACTCCATGAGCATAAGGGGGTAAATTCAAGCTGTTACTATTCTTCTTGAAAACAATTTGACAGTGTGGATCAAAAACCACTGAAATAGCCATACCTTTTAACCAAGGATTATTATATGAATTTATCTTAAAAACAAAAAAAATTAAACAAAGAAAATAGTATATTTATAAAAATGACCCTCACCTCTTCATCTTCTCATAGGAAAAGCTTCTAGTAATTTGTATTAATATAATTAGCATCATCTAGTTAATGGGAAAATTCCAAGTCTCTTTTCAATATGAGTTCTATAGCTTTAGGAATAATCATGTTAACTTCCTGTGAAATTCAACAGAACAAAATAGGCCAGTGACCTTATCGACATTCTTCACTCCCTACCTCCTGAACAGGCGTATCACCTTCCTAGGGCAGGGACAAAGTTATATCTTGTCTCTGCTGCCTTTCTCTCTCCAAAGGCTAAATTGCAAACAGATTGTATTCCTACTCTCCAGGCTCCTTTACCCCTTTCTATTCCCATCCTCAAT